TGAATCAATCTGACTGGATGATCTGGTGAACTGGAAAGTGACCTGAGATGACATGATGTGAATTGGAGCTATAGAAATAAACTGAATTAAACTAAACTTGTTTCAAGTTTCTTCCTGTTCGAAGGGAGTTTTTCCTCTCCACTGTCGCTACAAGCATGGTTATGGGCTGGTTATCCTCCCCCAGCAGTGTGTCGCAGTGAGCTTGTCGCAGATATTTTTGATTTCTGCCCAATATTGAAGCGTGGTCTGCGCTAAGTTATTCCATGCCACAACGCCAGAGGGACAATCAGGAACTAGCTGTGGGTCTAGATACGGCCGAGGCGGTGAGGAAGTGTTTTTTTTTGCAACAATAGAGGGGCATGAGGGCCAAAAAGAGCGGGGATCCATGTGGAAAAAGGGTCCCAGCGTTCTTGCGCACCTCGCTCTTCTAGCTGCTCCATCTTCACCACTCGTTTTCCTCAATGGCGGTCAGAGAAACAAAACAAGCCGGTAAGGAACCAAACAGGAAATACACATAGAGTAGAGCGATGTAGATCTGACCAATCAGAGGCCTCCTGTCTGCGGCACTGTCTGCGGTCACCTACAGTTTGGGAGAGGTGCAGCAGAGTGTCTGCAGAGGGGGGGCACATCTGCGTTAACTGCGACACATGCGCAGACGCATGCGCAGACGACCTGGTTTCTGAGTATAAATCAGCCTTAAGCCTCCAATTTCCATCCAACCAGTAATTTCTAGAGTGAAAGTCAAATATATGTACTGGTCACTACAAAAAAAAACTAATTTATTCTTTCCAATCTACTTCTACTTAATAAAAATATTTATTGAAATATCAAGAAGGCTATATTTATGCATTTTTGATGTAAAGCTTTGGCCTTTTGAGAAATAAGAATAAAAAACCAAACATGAATTCAAACCATGCAGCATCCCAGTACACCCTGGGATGATTGAAACTAATCATTTAAACCCAAAATTAAATATAGGATGATTACTAGATATGAAAGCATTCAAACAGCTGTACCCACATTTCGATAATTAACTGGTAAAGGCTACACTGTTATAGCAGTTTTCTGCACAGAAATAAACACAGTCTGGTAACTTTAAAAACGCTGTAAACAAACCCTGTAGAGCTGCAGCTGTCAGGTGTCACTACAGGCAGCATCCATGTGCACACACAGGTACGCAGAAGATCCAGAAATACATTAATTATAGCAGCTTTAGGGATAAACAGGAGATTTATCCAGCTAACAAGATAAAAGGCCAAATTAATAGAAGACAACCGACCCACGTTGTTTCAGTGGATGACATGCCTTCATTACTGTCAACACAGGCTGCTTGTTTTCTGTCAGTCATTTCCATATATGCATACCAGCTGTCTGATGTGCCACAGCTGAAAAGAAGCCTAGTTGTAATTATCATGTAAAGGCTATTTAGCAGTTAGAAGGCACTAACTTCAGTAACTCATTGCCCTCTGAGTTAATTAGTCTGGAATAGAACATGTTTTTCTAACCGCATGAACAGATTCTGCACTGAAACTTTGAAAATATGAATGCATGTTTTTATTTTTCCAACCCACAGAGCTCCAGGTTTTTTGGCTGGCGCTCCTACTGGGTGGTTCTGCAGGATGGGGTCATATCCTGGTACTCAAAGCAGTAGGTTCTCAGCTTGGCTCTGTGCTCTGAATTATGCACCTGGAAAGAAAAAATTCAGCATCTGATTTTAAGGAATAAAAAAGGGTCAGATAAATATTTACCAGGAAAAAATTGTATTTTTCACCCCTCTCTGTCAAACAGGTCCGATGCAGCCGTAAATGTCAGAAGGCAAGGCTGCAAGTCGCTCACTAACGCCACCTGCTTGGTAAGCCGCATTTAAAATGTCTTCTTTGACCTTTTTTTCACACGTTAGATTCAGGCATATATATTTATTTTATTTTCTTCCCTCTCCAGATACGAGCCAAAGATAACTGCTTCTTCAGCCTTAAGTGTTTCGATGACAGCGTGCATCAGTTCAAAGTTTGCCCTAAAAGTGAACCGGAGGCAGCCAGAAAAGTATGTTTTCATTTCATCTCTGTGTTCAGGAACAGAAAAATATAAAATATTAGATTAAAGATGGAATAATAGACTTGATTAATGAATGTTTTCAGTGATTTCTAATAAATAATTAGACTTACTTCCAGGAATTAAATAAAGGTTTTATTCATAGTGAACCACCTTCAACCAACAACAAACTGTACATGAAAGCCTATTTTTTGCCGTTCCATTTGAAAATGCATCACCTGCTCTGAAAAGAGATTTGTTTATCACAACGTATTCTTATTTATTGCACAAGGTCATATATATGAAAAACACTTGATGCAAACATTAGCTAGGAAATTGCGAAATGTTTACACAAAAACCTTCCTTCAGTCTTTCTCTTCGGCTGGTTCTGCATCATGTCTCTTTGGCAGGAAATGAATCCGTCCACCTTCCCTTAGTGTTCGAATATCTGTGTAATAAATCTGGTGATTTTTTTAAACAATGCGGTACTTTAAAGTGGGTTAGGCTAAATCATATAAGGTAATTACACAGTAGGGTTTTGCTGCCAATTTGAGGCCTTGCAGGTATTAAAGATTGCTGTTGTTTTGGCCCCTGGCAGCTAAGCACCTGCTGCTCTTATATCTAGGGGTGGTTTCCTCACATCACCACAGCATCTGTAGTTCCTCCCATCATCTCCGTCTGATCTGTTTCTGGTTTATTGATATTTTTCAGTCTGCTGCCTTACAACTATAAACTTCTATGTGTTATTTCATTCTAGTTTTATGAAATATATCAACAAAAAATTATAACATCATTTTGAAGTGAAGAAAAATCATGTTTTTAATTTTTTTTTTTAAGATTGTTTTAAAATTTGAAAGTCATTGCCTTAAAAAATAACTATATGGACAAACAATTATTTTTATGTACTTATTAGTCACAGCAAATGTATGGGGGAAAAAATGATGATCTGTTTTGAGAAGAACAAACCTGAACTGAGTGGCTTACAGTT